AGGGGGCTGGAGATAGTAGGTGGAAATTGGGAACGAATTCCCGTCTCCCCTTACACACTTTCGCCCTATTCGCACGGGAGACGTTTATTTTGAAGCACATTTTCGAGCACCTGTTATTTTCAAAACATGATACAAGAGTCCATGACAGGTAGAGAATCCACAACACCACACAATTCAAGGGTCCTAAGATCACTAATTCACTCAATCAACCAACTCAATATGAAGAAGAAATGAGTCTTCTTAAATGCATCAACATCCTCCATAGTGCTACACTACCTCCCTAGGTTGCATATTACTATAAAGACTGTCAATTCAAAGCATACTGAGCAGGCAATTGCAAGGAACACGTACTTGGAGCCCTCAAATTTAAAAATTTGGACAGTGGACTAGGCTCCAAGCACACAAACAGCCAAACATTCACCCGCATACATAATCGAACATCCCCCCACACTTAAGCACGACATTGTCCTCAATGGAGGAAAGATAAGGAGGGTAGAACGAAGTTACCAGATCAAGGGTGAATGATGATGAATGGGTCAGGCGGTGCCATCCAGAAAGAGAGAGTAATCAGAACACAAACACCACACAAAATCTCACAAAGGTTGAGTTATTGACTCTAAAATCAAATAACAAAACTGACTCAACCGAGGAGAAATAGAGAAAGAAATGCAAACCGACTGGTTGGGTTGCCTCCCAACAAGCGCTTCTTTCACGTCGTGAGCCGGACGATGGCTCCTAAGTTTCGGTCCATGCTAGAACCTCCTTGAAGTTGAGGTTCTCGTCGATGAGGTGGAGTCTCAAGTCATGAGCATGTGGTGTGGCAGGTGATGAAGGCTCATGTACTTGATGCAGATGAACTCTCCACCCTCGAGACCTCTTCTTCTCTTCTCTCGTCTCATTGCCCCAAACCAGATAAGACAGCATCGATTGGCCACCATCGCGTCCACCAAGAGGGACCGATGTCGAGGTGGCCTTGGTCTGGTAAAGAGACACTGCAAATGGGTCCTTGCTAAGCAGTTCCTCGAAGTTTGGTGGGGATATCACATGTGACTCATGGCCAGTGCAGGCCTCTTCCACCTTAACTCCGTCCTCAGCCTGGAGGCCAATTGCTTCTTCAACCCCCCTTTCTTCTTCATGTGGTATCACCCCTGGGAAATGATCAAGAACTCCTCCTGCTTCACTTTCGTCATCCTCCACAACTTCTTTCTGCACCCTTTGTTGCTCTTCTTCTTCTAGCACGGATTGGAGAGCAAGTTGCCAAGCAATTTCTTTCATGAGATCTTCTTGCAACTCCTCACTCATGCCCGCCTCTTCAAAGCGCAGTTTGGGGTGTGGGAAGGTGTGGTCGGCTACGACAGGACACTCCTGATCATGATCATCACGGGAGCTCTCCGTGACAACTTCAGTGTGCTCCACAATGTCCTTGTAGCCTTCTTCTTCCTCCTCCTCTTCTTGTATGGTAGCAGAAGGGTGATCTGGAGCAGGCTGTGCCCAAGATCGCTCAAGATCATCGACGCTCTTCTTAAGGCTCAGGAGGATCTCCTCTGTTTCACGATAGGCCTGGACACAATGATCCATCCTGGAGCATGTTCTATCACAGTCTCGAGCAAACTGCTCCATGAGAAGTCTCAATTCATAGTGTAGATCTGGCTGTGGAGTGTAGCATGGCTCTGCAGAATGGCCCGTGAAGGCCGCCATGGGTAACTCCAGCTCCAATGGCCCCTCTGGTTGTGGGAAAAATTCTTCTTGGTAATGAGGTTATTCTTGATATGACCAGGGGTCCGGTTGTTCTCCGTAGTAAGGGGGTTGGTACTGGAACCCGAATCCATAGTCTTCTCCTCCTTGATTGCTCCAGGGGGTCTCGGGGTAATACCACCCGGATGGTGGTGGATACCCCCAATGATTGGAGAAGCCATTAGGATCCATGATTCAGATCTGCACCAACAAAAACAAAAACACCCAAGTGAAAAGCAAGGGTGGAAAAGAAAAGAAAAACGCTAAAGTAACAAACTTCTGCCTTTCCTAATACTCTAGAAAGTCCCCGGCAACGGCGCCAAAAACTTGACTCGCTACGACACAACACCTAACAAAGGCCAAGTGTAACCAATGAAAGGGACTGCAGTATAGTGGCTCAAGTGATAAATATCGAATCCATGGGTCTCTAGAGTTACTATTACTCAGCTTCAGTTTATTATTTAGCAAATCAGATTAAGATGAAAGAACTAAAACTACTCTAGCAAACTACAGTTAAAGTTAATCTAATTACAGGTTGGGAACTCACTTAGGTATGATTCCCCCTAGCCACTAGCTAGATTAATGATTGATGATCTCTAACCTGTTTCACTTTCATTCACAATGCGGAGAATCCTTGACTAGACCTTGAGTCTCGACTAAAGGAACAAGGCCCTCTTGAGTCAATTGCCTAGAGGGACGTATCCTTCTCTAGAACAACTGATCAAGGCGTTCTGAACTAGACTCCCTCTATCGAAAGAGGTTCTCAATCGATACAAAGCAGTGAATCAACCCTTGAATAAAGCAATCGATCCACTACTATCAATCTATGGTGCTCTATTGACCTAATCAGGTATTCCCTCTCATAGGATCAAAGCAGAATCAATAATCTCGATTAAAGCAGAATTGAATCATGAAAACATGCATAGATTGAATATGAACTCAAGATTATCAAGTCAGAGTACTCATACAATCATCCAATCAAACAAACATAGCTAGGGTTCCTCAAAACCTAAGTGAAGGGAAGTTACTCCATAGAGAAGAGAGAGACTGCAGTAAGAATCTTCAGATGATCAGTCTTCAAGTCCGGGCTTGTTCCTCAAGCTTCCAAGGCGAAGAAATCCTCCTTCTCTACTCCAAGAATGCCCTCAAATCACCCTCTCTCTCTTTGGTTCGTCTCTTGGGTGTTTGGGATCCAAAAACCCAGCTCTCCTCCTCTTTGGTTCGGAATTTGGCTTAAAACCAGGAAATCCCGACTCACACGGGCAGGGCCACACGGCCGTGTGGCCTACCTAGTTGCCCGTGTGAGTCAAAATGCTGCGTTCCAATTAGTTCGAATTCCAGGCTCTTTGCACGGCCAGAATGGCACGGCCGTGTGAACTTCCTCTTTGCCCGTGTTTGCTCACGCAGAATTTCACACGGCCAGACTGGCCTCTTGCACGGCCGTGTGGATGTCCTGCTCTGCCCGTGTTTGCTCTCGGCGAAACTCGCACGGCCAGACTACTCCTTCACACGGCCGTGTGATCATCAGGGCAGCCCGTGTGACCTCCTTTGTGACTTGTCTCGCGCCCGATCTTCGCCCAATCGACCCCGAACTCGCTCCTAAACCTTCATTCACTTGCCAGGACCTGAAATATCACAAACAAGCACAAACTAGCGTGAAATCGGTCTAAAACACGAGAAACCACATCTCAAACGGTGTAAGAACAGGGGTAAAAACATGTGTAATTAACGGTCTATCACCCTCTTACTTCGTTACTCGTGACTCTTCTTCTTGATGTTCCTCGCTAGTTCTAGCTGACCCTTATTCCTAATGTAGCCCTCTAGGTTCTTATTTTCTCTTCCCACTCGTATACCATGATAGATAAGGTTCTCCCTTCCACTATTCCTGACGATCATGATTCCACCTTAAAAATTGACTGAAATATCTCTATGGACTTCCTATGGATCGGTTGTTCTCTACTTGGTGGTCAACCTAATTCTTTCTTGTTGTCTGTTGTACTCCTGCTTCCGCCCGTCTTACTACCTTCCTTGGTGCATACATCACCAGGTTGATGCCAACCATTTTTTTTCTATAACTTCCGACGGTGTTCCTCTTGCTTCTTTACTTTTACTACCACCAAACTACAACTCTTCTGTTGTTGCTTGTACTATATTTGGTCACCAACCTCTGTTGCGTATCTTCTCGTCGTTGTTTTAGGTCACAACTTTCAATGGTGGCTTTCCCTTTGTAACCTTTAACATAACTCGTTCCATGTCCCTTTTGTTGATCGATCTTGTACATAGCCTTAATCTCTTAGTCGTGGCTCTTAGTGGCTTAACTAAATATCACTAATTTATCCTTAACTGGCCTTCCTTTATGGATGACATCCTACTATGTCGTACTCGCTCAGAGTGGGGCACCTTGGGTAAGGTAACTTAATGATTTCCTCCTCCTTGGTAATGCTTTTCCTTGTCGTACTCCACTATGCATTTTCTTGAACACGCGTCACCTACACATATTCTCAATCCTTCATCGGAACTTCCATGTGTTTCCTCGAATTCTCTGCCATTCACTAGAACATTTATTGAACATTCCACTTACTTGTCTTTACTCGGTTGGCTTAGTGACTTACTCCTATAGCTAGTTTCGAGAATTCAACTCTTAGCCCTCTAATTCCAACTTAGTAGAGAGGTTCCTCCTTCTGTATGTTAGGACAATCCCATAACAGTTCATCGTGAACTCTTGCATTCCCCTTTCAACGGTCCTAAAATCCTCTTGACCTTTCATGATTTGGGTAGTTTGTAGGGTCTCTAATATCCTCTTTCTAGCTCCGTGTTGACTTAGGATACAACTCAGGCACTGCTGAGAATTGATTCTCTACTCGTACTGCCATTTATTAGCTAACTGTTATTCCCTCTCACATTCCATATCTTTTCTTACTTATTGACTCCCCGTTGTCTTCTACATGACATGCTTTAGACTTTGGTGGCACTCTCCTCCACGTCTCGTCCAATGGTGGTCGTACTGAGACCATAACTTGTTCTCTACATCATTTATCTCGTTGCTTGCCTTGTTCCTTTTAAAGGCTTGCTATCAGCCTAACTCCCCATGGTCATGTACCCTCTTCCCTAGTGACGTATTTTATCCATAAGGGTTCCTTTATCATCATATGTAAATGATTATGCCTCCTCTCCGCCTTGACCTTTTGACTCTTTGACGTCCTTTCAGACCCCTTCTAATCTACTTACTTCCTCATTTACTTCATTTATACTACCCTAGCTTCTCTTGAAGTCTAAGCTTTTTACTACTCCTTGACACTATATTATAATAGCGTTGACCACTAACACTAGTTGAGGGACTTCTCGTGGTACCTCTTCGTTTCTTGGCTCGTTGCTTCCTCGCCACTGCTTAGGGTCAAGGACCCCGAAATCCTCCCATCACTATAGCTACTGACATCTAGTGATTGTAGCTCTTTCTTCGGAGATTCATAGTTCTCTTATTTGTTTGCTTTTGCTTATTAGATCCTCTCCTTGCTGCCTAGTAGTAGAATCCTCGTACTACTCCTTCAACTCCTCCAAAATCCTAAAGGTATTCCCTTACGATTGGAACCTCTTCTATTGGAACTTTAGTTATTTACTTTAATACGATTAGAGTAGACTGGAGATTCTATAAACTCTTAAAAGAAGATCCTTGGCTCGTTTTCCTTTCCTTTAAAACAAAAGCCTTTAAAACTGAGACCGATATTCCAGTATTCCATGGAGACCAAGGAATAGAGGAAGACCGGCTCTGATACCAAAATGAAACACCCTAACCCGGCCGGTACTACTTTTACTAAAATGCCCTTGATAAATAAAATACTCAAATCTTAAATTGCAACTGGGAAAAATTTTCATAAATAAAATACTGGAAACACACACTTGAAGCTCAGAGCAAAGCCCTAACACGTGGGCAAATTAAACTCAAACTTCAAAAACTCAATCTGATCTCCAGTCTATACTCATAATCATAAAATGTAAATAACTAATAATCTCTAAATTTGTTGCTACTTGAAACCTTGACTAAGCATCCTCCGTGACGCTTACACTGCTCTCCTCTAGCTGGCTGCCTCGAACAGCTTTCTCGATCTCGCTGCTCACTAACTGCTCCTATAGCTGCAACTATCAGTCTAGTTCTCGCTTTTCCTTTACTAACTCCTGGTGAGTGAGATGGGGTCAGTCTACGCCCTTACGTTTTAATACTTTGTAAGACTTGAGTACTTTGCTTAAACACTTAACTTTAACTGGTGGAAGTTGTTTGTACTTCCAATCTTAAAATCTTAACTCTTAAACTTTGAGGGAGTTGAAGTTACTCTCCTCTCTTTTTTTTTTTTTGACAACTGTTACTCTCCTCTCTTAAAACTCAAATCTTGACTTAAATGCTTGACCGACACGGGGATCCCTCACTAGCTAGTCTGGTTGCCCAACTCATACGTATGAGAAGCCATCCAGGCTTTCCTTGAACTTAAACTTAGTTAGGGAAGTCGTAACGATTCATCCCCCTAACATCTTAAACTTATCGTGATGGCTCTTCACCACGATTCTCCAGGGCATAACTGCTGCCCATCTTAAAAGTCTCAAGAGCATAACTGATGCTCTGTCTCAAAGATCTCAAGAGCATAACTGCTGCCCTATCTGAAAATCTCAAATGGCAACGGACTGGCGCTAGTGACTAAAAAAAATTAAAACGACTTCACCTGCTTGAAGGTGAGTTACTTCTTAAAAAGACCTTGTTTCCTAAACTTTAACAATAACTTATACTCATAAAATTTTCAAGGTAAATAATAACCATTCACTTCAAGCATAGCTCAAACAAAATCACCTCAAATAGCACAAATAATCAATCACACATAACCAAGGACCGATAACCAATTCGCTAAAATACTTAAAATCATAATACTTAAAAGAATACGTAAGGCGTAGAATTTACCCCATTTACACTCACCTCGAAAATATGACTCTGATTTGACTCTGAAATTTCCAAAACTCCCTTCTATAACATTCCCCTCGCTTCTACAATTCCGTAGGCGCAGACAGTTCCTCGTTTGGACGTCAATTGATCGAGTTATGACCAAAATAAACATTCTGTCAGTTTGAAAGTTCCAGGTACTGAAATGCAATTTTCCAGTCAACACAGTTGACCACGACCTCACTGAAAAATTTCACTTTTAATCCTCTAACTTTTCAAATTTCCACGAATGGTACCTGTACTAGGCAAATTCTTGCTCAAACTTGGGAGGCTCGGTTCTCCCTTGTCCGACGTCGGAATTCAATTTCGTCGACACGGTGACGATCCTGGAATTGCCCTCTACGAGATGATACCCACCACTTGACTAATGGTTGAAGTCGGCTACGCCGGGCCGTCGACGGAGCTCTAACACGTCGGTGATGCCGAACTAGCCAACGCGCCTCTCTTCCTCCCATCGCTTTCCACCGATTTGGCATCTCGAGTTCGGCTGCAATGAACGCTATAACCCTTTCCGAGCTACGTGCATCAACGACCTCGACGCTTGCTTGTTCTTGGTGTTGCAACGATGATGGTGTAATGGCAAGTGATGGTGGTGACATGAACGCAGTTGAGCAGCCGCGGGAATTGTGAGCAATGGGTAAAAGAAAGGGGTTACACACCTCGGCTGCCGCTAGCTCTTCTACGGTGAGTAGGGTTTAATTGGTAGTGGTGAGGCCGAGTTAGGTATTTAAGTGGTAGGGTTTTAATTAGTTCAAGGGGTATTTTGGGCATTTCCTAATTTACGGGTGAGTTTAATCCGAAACTCAATTAATGTCCGTAACTTTCTCATTTGATGTCGAAATTCGACACTGCTTGAACCGATAGTTCACATTTTTAGTCCTCCCCGACACTACGGTGAAATTTGACAAAATTGGACCAAGGGCATAAGAAAAAGATGGGGTGTAACACCCAAATCACTCCCTGTGGACCTTTCTTGCAGGACTTCGAGGACCGTCGTTCATCTACAAAGGACAGCACGAAGTCAGTGAAGTCTCACAAAACCGCCCGGTACGAACCAGGCATAAACATAGACTAAAAGAAAACAACTTGTTCCTCATATATATGAAACTCTTTCACATTAATGATACAGTGAATGCATAAAGATCAACAAACCTCTCCGGAATCAAAGTATCCTCAACTGGCCATCTAACAGGATCAAAGTGAGAAATGGTGCCTGAGAAGTAACGATGATAAAGGTTCCCACTTATGTTATCCAGACCTCCTGATTGACCAGGAAATATCAGTCTTGTAGGGTCTTTCAACTCTGAACCGGTGCTATTGACAAACAATCCACTAGCATCTAAAGTAGGTGTAGATACAAAAGGATGTAGAATGGTTGCAGCCACAACACGAGAGATCTCCCTTGCATCAACTACTTGAATAATACGAGAAATTACGTACTAGGAAGTTACTACAGATAAATTGGAGCCCCGCAGCAAAATTGCAACACAAAGGACTAGTACCTCATTTAGATATTCTTTGAAGAATGTCTACATGATCCGCACAAGGGGGTCCGGATCCTATCAGTAACCGACCTATCAGTAACGGTCAGTAACCGTCCATCTGACCGTCCATCGCGCCATCTTCCCAGCCGTCAGATCATGCCAATTAAATACACGCGGGGGCAAAAAGGTAATCACGTCTCTGACAATTTGAATTGCAGACGTGACAGCGACAACCGTCCCGCCTTCTCTCCTTCTTTCTCTCACCTTTCAAGCGACAGTTCCACTTCCCTCTGCTCTCTAACTCTCCATTCTTCCTCCCGATAATCAATTCTATCACCAAAATCGCAGCAAAAACTTCCAGAAAAAAACTTCAAATCGAACGATTTTTGCAAAGCTTTTCGAAGAATCATTCAACGATACACTGTTCTCGCTTCTTCGTCGAAAAAAGAAGGGTTTCCAACTTCAACGAGGCTCAAAAATCGTTTTCGCACAAAATATCAAGGTAAAACCTCACTTCTTTCTTCGAAATCCATCCATAGAACAATAGAAACAGTATTTCAGTCACTCTTCATGTGAAAATTGTAGTAAAACTCGCTACATTACCGAATCGTTAGCATGCATTGCTGAACTGGTGTAGAATCTGTTGTGTTTTGCTTCGTTACCACATGGTATGGCGTGGTAAACTATGATTGCACGTTATAAAAAAGCAAAAAACTATGTTTTGCTTTGTTACCATATGGTAATGTGTGGTAAGCTATGGTTTCATGTTGTAAAAAAGCAAAAAAACCATAAGTGCTGCTGTGTTTTAGTTTGTTACCATATGGTAATGTGTGGTAAGCTATGGTTTCATGTTGTAAAATAGCAAAAAAAACAATAAGTCCTGCTGTGCTTTAGTTTGTTACCATATGGTAATGTGTGGTAACCTATGGTTTCATGTTGTAAAATAGCAAAAAACCATAAGTACTTCTGTGTTTTAGTTTGTTACCATATGGTAATGTGTGGTAACCTATGGTTTCATGTTGTAAAATAGCAAAACACCATCAGTTCTTCTGTGTTTTAGTTTGTTACCATATGGTAATGTGTGGTAACCTATGGTTTCATGTTGTAAAACAGCAAAAAACCATAAGTCCTTCTGTGTTTTAGTTTGTTACCATATGGTAATGTGTGGTAACCTATGGTTTCATGTTGTAAAAAAGCAAAAAACCATAAGTCCTGCTGTGTTTTACTTTGTTACCATATGGTAATGTGTGGTAAGATATGGTTTCATGTTGTAAAAAAGCTAAAAAACAATAAGTGCTGCTGTGTTTTAGTTTGTTACCATATGGTAATGTGTGGTAAGATATGGTTTCATGTTGTAAAAAAGCAAAAAAACCATAAGTGCTGCTGTGTTTTAGTTTGTTACCATATGGTAATGTGTGGTAAGCTATGGTTTCATGTTGTAAAATAGCAAAAAAACAATAAGTCCTGCTGTGTTTTAGTTTGTTACCATATGGTAATGTGTGGTAACCTATGGTTTCATGCTATAAAAATGGAGGAAAACATACGTCCTGTTGTGTTTTACTTCGTTACCATATGGTAATATGTTATAAGACATGGTTTGATGTAATTACCATATGGTAAAAATGAGATAAATATATGGTTTGATATCGTATGGTAGGAAACCATTATCGTACCATATGGTATATTATGGTAAAAAGCATACTAACAGACTATTACTAATTTCTACATTCAAGTACACTATGGTAAAACCAAGACACAGTTTTCGCACAAGGTGCAGCCCAACAAGAATATCTGCAATTGCAAGGTCAATAACAGATGAACGGAAAGAGCAACTTGACATATTAGGCCTAGCAGGCTTAATGTCAATCAAGCAGACAAAGATAAACAACCATTTTGCACTGTTCGTAATGAACAAATACGATCCAGAGAAAGAATCGTTCAAGTTACCTGACGGGACACACATGAAGATATCACCAATCGACTTTCATAGGGTATATGGTCTGCCGATGGGGGATAGGGAAGTTGTACCTCCCACGATTTCTTGGGATGACGCAGCAGATTATGCAGTAGAAACCCTACTCGAAGTAGATGGAACATCCACTCCAAGGGTAAAGCTAAGTCAGGTAGAAAAAGATCTTCCTACAACCAAACTGACTAAGAGATGGATGCAATTGTTCTTTCTGCTGGTCACCGGAGGCTTGCTGTGTCCAACTTCAGCACCTATGGCTGAACTCAACATGCTTGAGTACTTGAAGACCGAAGAACTGAAACATTTCACCAGCTACAACTGGTGCAAATACTTCTTCAAACACATGAATGAAGGATTGAAATCACCAAAGCTCTATGTCAGTGCAGATCTTCACTTCCTTACAGTAAGTCTCCATTCCCTTGGCCATTTCAACCTTGTTACTCATATATTTTATATATAAATGATACTCTTTGAAAAAAACTAATACAACTATCTGCATAAAAAGGTATGCTTCATGTACAAACTGGACGAAATGGCATTCTTAACCCAGCTTCGAACACCAACAGTAAGCTACTATGATGATAACAATGTTGATAGCAACTTTGAGAACATTAAGAGCTACTACAATGGAAAAGAGTTGAACGAGATCGAAAAGCTTGCCAACATTAATGACGATGAGGCTGATGGTGCAGCTGATGAGGAAGAGGAGAATGAGCCAGTCTATGAATCACCGAAAAGACAAAGAAACAAAAGTCCAGACCAGTCATCATCACTGAACTTTGATTTGAAGAATATCAGAACAGTCAACCAAGTAAGTACAAATTATCCATATTACAGTTTTCCAAGTTTGTTACCATATGGTAAGGTGTGGTAAGCTATGGTTTCATGTTATAAAAATGGAGCAAAACATAAGCCCCCGTTGTGGTTTACTTCGTTACCATATGGTAATGTGTGGTAAGCAAATGGTTTCATGTTATAAAAATGGAGGAAACCATAATTCTTGTTCTGTTTTACTTTGTTACCATATGGTAATGTGTGGTAAGCTATGCTTTCATGTTTTAAAAATAGCAAAAAAACAACAAGTCCTGCTGTGTTTTAGTTTGTTACCATATGGTAAGGTGTGGTATGCTATGGTTTCATGTTATAAAAATGGAGGAAAACATAAGTCCTGTTGTGTTTTAATACGTTACCATATGGTAATGTGTAGTAAGCAATCGTTTCATGTTATAAAAATGGAGGAAACCATAATTCTTGTTCTGTTTTACTTTGTTACCATATGGTAAGGTGTGGTAAGATATAATTTCATGTTATAAAAAATGCAGAATAGTGATAATAATTTCCAATACCATGTATTACCACCATGGTATCTTACAAAAACTCCCATTATGCAGGCTGAGAATGCAATCAAACTGCTTGCAGCATCAATGAAGGCAATGATGAAAGCAATCAAAGACCAGTACAAAAGCCAAATTGATAATCTGATCAGACACAAGGAGAATCTTGCGAAAGAAAGCTGTGATGAAAATGTTCAGCCAACAGAAGGAGAAAAATTTCAGTGTGAAGATGATGAAGAAGAGAATGATGAAGAAATGAATGCCAGTTTGAATAAAACACTCAATGAAATATTCAAACAGGCAAATATAGACCAGAACAAAGAGGAGAAGGAGGAGCAAACACAGAAAGAAGATGATTCACAACCATCTACAGTCGATCTTGCTGCATCTACACCGAAGCCAAAAGAAAAGGAGCAAGATGTTTCTGATCCAGGAGCTGTGAATAGGGAAAGCATCCCAAAAGAAGGAGGTCCACTGGGGGAAGTTGCAACAGAACCACCAGAACAATCTGTTCAAGAAGGTCTGAATCAGGGAACACCACAACAAGAGGACACCCCGAAAGCAGTTCCAGAACAGACATCTGCAAAAGAAACAGGAGAAAAAGGAGCTACCAAAACAGCAGATCCAATGGAAGTTGATAAGGAAACAACAGAAGAAGGGAATACAGGGCAAGCTGCGCAAAAGACTCCAGAAATTGACAGCGAGAAAACGGTGTCAGATGATGTTGTTCGAGAAGAGGCTCCAAAACTGACAACCAAAGATGCTGAGAAGCCTAAAGTGACAAGGGAAGACGACATTCCATCCTTTGATCTCAGCCCTCTCAACCGTCAAACACCAACAACACCAACGAAGTTGACTACCAACACGGCAACCGATCAACCAGGAGAGCCTCGCAAAAGAAGAATCGTGGTGAAGAATTTGAATGTATATGAAAAGAAGGCAAGAACAACACCACCACCAGCACACCCACAAAGCACCCAGTCACAGACGGCGTCATATGCTATATGGTCAAATCTGTACACAAACAGCCAAGAGAAGCTCAAGGAAGTCCGTGAATGCATAGATGCTTACCTTGAGGACCTGAATTCTCCAACTGTTGATCCAGTTGCTCCACAATCACAAAAAACACCAGCTGAATGGTCAACACCAACACAAACAACACCTGATGATATGTTCACCAACATCTTGGAGTACATAAGATGCAAGAACAAGAAATTTGTCAAGAGGTAAGTCATCATCTTAAAATTTCTACTGTTATATGATTTTACTGTAGTGATCTAGTTTGTTACCATATGGTAAAATGTGATAAGATATGGTAAAATTAGATAAATCTATGGTTTAATGTTACAAAATGTAGTAATGCACAAGTCCTGTTTTGTTTTAGTTTAATACCATATGGTATGATGTGGTAAGCTAAGGTTTGTTGTTAAAGAATGGATTAAACCATAACTCCTGTTCTATTTTACTTATTACCATATGGTAAGATGTGGTAAGCTGGTGTGTTTTACTTATTACCATATGCTAAGATGTGGTAAGCTATGGTTTTGTTGTGGTAACCTATTGTTTGATGTCATAAATTAAAGTAAACCATCCGTCCTGTTGTGATGTGCTTTTATACAGTGATGAGATAATGTTTAAAAGGAAGGATGGAACATTCTTGCTGAAAAGGGAGTCAGTACAGTTGATTGACATTGGCTGTGAAATCACAACTGATGTCGTCGACTGGTATGGAGATGTAATGAACAGGAATGAAGCAAAAAAAGGAAAATTCAAAAGGTGGTTCTTCGATACATCTTTGGCAGTAAGTAAACCCACCCATATTCTGTCAATAGTTCTTAGACAACACATATATAAAATACATAATAACAACCACAACCTTTCAGGGTGACTGCCAACTGGACATTGATAGCGGCAATCCTGTACTATCTCCAGACGATTACTACAACAAAGTGGACTTGGACATCACCAACAAAGAATGGGCAAAAAACCTCAGCTTCACAGAATGTAACCTTGTAAGTATCTCACCACAATTTTTGCAGTGGTTACCATATGGTATATAGTGGTAAAATTAGTTTGCAATGGTTCTTAACTTACTGTTCATCACTTATATGGCAACTGCTTACCATATGGTATACTGTGGTAAAATTATTTTGCAGTGGTTCTTCCCTTACTGTAATAACAAGCACTACATCATGATTTGTGTCAACATCAAAGCAGAGAGATTTGAAGTACTCGACAGTCTCCGTCACAAAGATTTTAATGAACACTACAAACCAATGGCAGAGAGGGTTGTCCAGTACGCAATCAACTAC